GCCGAACTGCTTCCCATCTCAAGCCAGCAGAGCGGCCATTCTCAGCCTCAGAATCACTACGCGGCTCGTCCGCCTTGTCTGCCAGACGCTTGAGAGCCTGTTTCGTGGCATCCAAAAGAATGCTGCATCCCGGAACGAGCCAAAATGGACTTCCGACCGCTGTCTTACCCTCCCGCCGCACCTCGATAGGGAACACTGCATTTGCAGTGCATTTCTCAGGCTGCATTGTTCGACAACGTGGTGCTCTTATCTCGAGAACACGAAGCATCATGTGCATTCGAACGCCCTCTACTTTGTCATCAACCCGACCACCGCCCGACGACACATGCTACATTGCATTGCGTCCCGACCCATCCGCTCGGCAGACAGTCAGTCTACAGTGTACACGCAGAATTAGGGAGTGCATTCCTTACTCCTGTACAGATACTCGGGCTACACGGCGCGGTACATCGATGATTGGCATCAGATGAGACGACTCGGACCCAGACTGATTCGTGTCACTCGACGGAATAGCCACAGCGGGACAGCGGAATTGAGAAAACGCTGCCACTGCGAAAAGAAAAAGAACTTGTAATCTGCTAATTTAGTAAAGATTTTTGGGTCGGTGTGGATGGACCCTGATCGTCCAAACCACCAGAAACACGCCAGTGGCGAGAGAGCCCAGCCCAAAAGACCGACCGATGCTCGTTCTGGCGCTGTGACTGTCGGAATCACTGAAGGCGCTGGAGTATCTCGCTGCAACCCTCTGCAGCACAGTTACTTTGGCACTGGTCTAGGTACCCGGGGATGTTAGTCAGCGCTACGCGTGCGCTAAACACCCCCTCCTCACGTAGGGGGGGAAAAAACCCCTTGCCACGGAAAAAACCCCTTGCCACCTAAGTCGACCCCCTATCACCAAAAGCATCATTTTCCCACCCAAATTACCCGTTTTTTCGACTAGATATAGACTAATTATACTACTTTTTTCACTCTATACCTTTATATAAGTGACTAGGATGCCTTACTAGTATGAACTCCACTTCAGCCTAGCCTAAAAAGCAGCTTAAGTTATCTACGCGCAATATATACGCACTAACTAAGGCCTCTAATATAGCTACTAGCCTACCTCACCTCCTACCTCTATTAAGAAGGTAGCTAAGGCTTATAAAGTTAGCTATACTACTATTAGTAACGCTCTAAAGCATCTTAAAACTACTAAAAGCTTCTCTAAAGTAACCTAATAAAGTAGCTAGCTAAGAGCTATTACCCCTAGTAAGGATACTACCCTTACTACTTTTACTATATAGCTATATAAAGTAAGGTTTCCAGCTTCTCTAGCTATAATCTAAGAAATAGCAAACGCTTTCTAGGTCTCTAAAAGCTAGCTCCTAATATCTAACTAGTAGTTTACTAGCTAGAAAACTAACTACTTAAAGCTCTAAGTCTCTAGATTAATTAAGCTAATAGAGATCTACTAGAAGGGTGCTAAATATAATCTAGCGCTAATTAAGGAGTAGTTTAACTAATATAAGTTTACTATTAGCTAATATAAACTTAAGCCTTTAGAGATCTAAAATACTAATAAATCTAGCTACTATATTAGCTACCTTACTAGCTAAAGGTATATTATTATACTATAGGGTAAGCTAAAGCAAAATATAGCTTTAGAGGTTATTAATTTAGCTAACTAAGAGTTATATACTTTTATAAGGTGTAATAACACTATTAGTGAGGCTATACCTACCTATATAATCTTTAAGATATAGCTAATTACTATATAGGTTAAATATAACATTAGGGAGGGGGTATGCTTTATATAGTTACCTACTACCTTCTCTAACTAAGAGATTATATTAGATTATATTAAGCACTTTAATACTTAGTTATATAAAAGCTTAGCTAGGTATTAGAGGCTAAGTTTTAGTATAGAGGAGTATTTTAGAGTTAATACTTATAGCTACTATTCTAATAACCTATATATCTCTAGTATAAAGCTGAGGTATTAAGCTAAGTATATAGAGATAGCTTAATATACTTCAGCTGAGAGACTATATTAATTACTACTTCTAGATAGCTTCTCTAGCTATATTAATATTACTCTTATAGAATATTATTAAGATTATAATATTATTATTAGGTTTTTTCTGCCTTATGCTATATATCTATTATAGCTAATAGATATTAAAGTCTTCTAGCTATTTAAAAGTTATTAATAAGAAGCTATATAATATTAACTCTATAAGGGTGCCCTTATATTTACAAGAGGTAACTTTATTAGAGCCCTTAGCAGTATAATAGATACTACATTTACACTAATAAATATTATAAAAGGTTTTAAAAAGTTAAGTATTTAGCCTATATAACTTAAGGTTATACTAAAATAACTTATAAGGAAGATATAAGAAGCTAATATTACTATGCTAGCATACCTTCTCACTTACTTACTATATATAGATCGCTTTACTAAAATAGACCTTCTACTTAATTATATTACTACTAAGTATATACCCCTCTTTAGTTTACTTACTTACTAGTAATTTCACTATATAACTAAATATCTTAAAGAGGGTTAGGTTATAGTTAATTAAGGTAAGAAGTTTATATAAGATAGGAATATATACCTCTTAATATTATATAAGAAGATCTAAGTGAGGTAAGTAGTAAAGTTAAGCTACTTATTTATTATAAGTATAACCTTCTTAGAGATTATTAAACACTATAAGAGGTAGGTAGCAGAAGTTATATAGGTAGAGATTAAGTGTTAATATGCCTATATAAAAAAAGAGGCTAAAAAGTAGTATTTAGAGGTGTGCGCAGAATATTTAAAGTTTAAAAAGTAGTAAGTTAATAGTAAGGTAAAGATATTAACCTTTAAATAGTAGCTCTACTATACTAAGAAAGATATTAACTTTATTACGTTTAACCTAAAAGACCTTTACTAGTTTAATAAGCTTCAGCTAAAGTTTATAGTTAATATAATTAACTTTAACCTTAAGCTACTACTAAAGGATATCCTTAACTATATAAAATATACAGTAAGACCTCTTAGTTAGTTAGATATTAATTAACTACTATTAGAGGTAGCAGAAGTATCTACTAACCTCACACTTAACCTAAATATATTTATTAAGGTTAATAATCTTATTAAAGATACTGTTAATAATATAGCGTCAGAATTAACTATTAACTTTAATATTAACTTTAATATTAATAATAATATTATTAATAAGTCTGAACTACTTACTTTACTTATACTAAAGACGCTAGTTATACCTACACTAGTAATAGGGCGTAAGTTAATATATTACACTATTATAGAGGGTCTTAACGTTTAGAGGGTATAAAAAGTACTAAAATAAGCAGAAATAACGCCTCTAGTAATATAAAGTTAATCTTAGAGTTATTATACTTAAAATAAGCTAATAAGTAAAGATATAATAATTATAAAGTTATAAGTAGCTATATAGTTAATTTAAATATACTATTAGATTATATATATTAAGATAATTATAACTATTATACTTTTATTATAATATAATATAGTTATAAGTAGTAGATTAATATATAAAGTTAGTGATTATAATAGTGAGGTATTAAAACTGGCACTTTTAGTGTTTTGGGTGGCAAGGGGTTTTTTCGCTAGCAAGGGGTTTTTTCCCCCCCTACGTGAGTAGGGGTCTTTAACGTAAGCCTGTGACGCTAGGACCCCCAGGTACTGCGTATTGCTAGGGTCACCGTTTTGGAGCAAGGTCTGGACCAAGGGACCCCTATCGGATCCTGTCCGTCGCCTCACCGACCACACCGCAATTCCTCCGATCCCGCAGTCCGGACCGTTGAGATGCGCAGTCAACTGCATGCGCATCGCAACAGTTCATGCCAGTTTGGTCACACAAACTGTATCCTTTCGTTTCAGCAGTCCATGTTTTTCCTCATATTGCTCGTTGTTTACTCCTCATGTGTTCGCGGTTTAGAGGTGGGCTGGCTGAGATCAGACATCAGACAAGACAGCTCGCCTTAACCAACTAGCGAGGTTGTCGGTGGGCCAGCCCCAGCTTGTTTCTAGGGAACATCCGAGACCTTGTCGATTCTATCCGCAGAACCCTGGCGATTTACCAATATTTGACCCAGTCACATATTCGTACGGGGGTTATCATCAGACCCCTACTTCGTACTCATCAGTCAATTGCGGGTTGAGAACGAGCATACCTTATGATTCAGCCTACATTAAGTTTCCTGGGACTAGGGAAGCACGCGCGACACCGAAGGGTCACGATAGGTGTATAGGTCATATATAGTGAATACTAGCGGTCGAAGCTTCCATCTAGGTCCCGTCTATCTCGTCGGATCTTGGTACAGTGCGGGTCGGTCCGCTGAGCTGCACAGCAGGAACCCAGTGTCCATTGCCGTATGTCGACTCGCGAAAGCTCTGGGCGAGCTCGTCAGTATTGATTCAACGATTTTTTCCACGTGTTAATTAGACCTCGCTACTACGGCCTATAGGGGTACTCATCGTGACATAGGTAACAGTCAGAGCCGCCAGCTTTTTTGTATTCCTCATAAGACAAACTACTACTATAGGGACGGGACCATAGCTACCTAATGAACTTATCTCTAAAGATCATATTGACAAAAGGGTCATGTTGTACTGTCTATCCAAGTCCTGAGATTTTGCTTCTTTCCAGCACCTTTGTGAACAAACCTGTTGGGCCAGCCAGTCGAAGATGGAACTTTATCCCCCATACCTTTGGTCGGCCATCGTTAAACTCGCCTGTTCCATGATATGCATCAAACCCTGGCTGTGTGCCCGCCGTCCATGTTGTCGGAGATACGATGCTAAAGTTTTGTGTGCAAGTGGTCAGCCATGACGGTTCTTCACAGATGGATCTACCGGAATAGCTCTCGATGGGCTATATCTGCCTCGCATCTGCTCAAAACATGCTGCATATTCTTCCTTTGGGGGACCATAACCGCCGCATCTTGATACAGCATCTTGAAGGCGTAAGCTATCTTCACTAATCATTATGTTTAGCAAAGAGATTCGAGCGGCGGCTATCGAGGCCATCAAGGCAGCAGCCCAAAGAAGAAGGGAGGAGATGGTTGCAAAAGTTGGTAGGCAGTTGTACGCTCTGTCTGCCGCCCAGAACAGGGCCAACTTGAACTCTTCCGTGGCGTCATCGAACGCTGTTCATGGTGGAGAGCAGGATGCGAACTATGGGGCTTCTGCAAACTCCAAGAAGGAGAAGAAGAAGCGGAAGGAGACGGTCACGTCTCCCTCTTCCACCGACCAGCAGACGACAGATGATGCGTCTGTAACCGGGGAGTTATTGGACCCCGAGACCGATAGTATGTGCCCTTGTATGGGGGAGAGAGAAAAGAGAGGGAGTATGTGTGTACCCCGGCTAACTCGTTCAAAGAAAGCAGCTCTTCCCCTTCGGCTGGCCCCTCATCTGGCCCTTCGTCTGGCCCTTCTTCTGTTTCTTCGCCTGTCACTTCGCCTATCTCCTCACCTGTCTCCTCACCTATTTCTTCGACTGTTCCTTCGACTCTTCTCTCGACTGTTCCTTTGGCTGACCCTAACCAGCCACCCGCGACTGTCAGGAAAGGGCTCCATCGGGCCATGGTGAGCGGCTTATTGCACAAGCGGCGGGAATGCGAGCAGCAGAGAGCCGCGCAGATCAAAGCCAACGAGGCTCGATCTCGTGGCCTGGCGCAGATTGCTCACCCTAACCCTTCTGCAAGCACAAACGCATAAGACGAGACTGACAACGTCACGACGAGCGGTATGGACACATTCAAGATCATCATGAGCAGGTTGTTTGAGGTGTTTGTCGGGATAGCGGGAAGATTCATTGGGTCTCTTTTGTAAACGATCATTCATGCATCAGATTTTGGAAGAATGCCGAACAACAGGTAGCGAAAATAAATCAGCGTGGGAGGTGATGACATTGGCTTCGGGATACACTGCGAACATATCATCCGTGCCAGGTCTTCCAAAGACGCCAAGAGGTGTGTGCCTGGCTAAACAGAAAGTATGTTCTCGGCCCGCAAAAATTGTGTTACCTTCATTCCACCAAATACAAAGTCTATCTAAGTTGTATCTCAGTGATGTCTACCCTGCATCGTGTATCTACCATCTACTGTATAAGTCGCAAATCCCTCTCGCTCGCCTCAGCATCCTTCTTGGAAGCGGGCTCTTGCGTCGTAACAGCACCATAACTCGGCCCCTCCGCCGGTTCCAAAGCCTCCTCCTCAGCGGGTACCAAGATAGCCCTCTCCTGGTTCTTGCGGTCCATCCTCGCCCTCCACGGACGGTACACCAGCACTGATCCAAGCCCAACAACCACGAACAGTCCGCAGATACTGCCACCGATGATGTCAAAGTGCTCACCGATAGCGTCCACTCCGTTCCAGAAGCTTCCCTCGGGCTCGGCCACGTTCGCGACGAGGGAGAGGACCTGGATGATGCCGATGAAGGCTGAGACAAACACCGTGATGCCGGTGAGCACGATGGAGTAGTACAAGATCGCGACCCTGTCTCTCGAGAACGCCTTGGATGTGTAGAGTGCCATCATGAGCGCGCCGTCGGTGGTGTCGAGGAGACACATGCCAGCTATTCTAATCGTCAGAGGAGCCCCTCAACGTCTGCCTCATACAAGACTTACCAGTAAAAAGCACGGGAAAGATGAGAATCAGCCAGATGCTCGTGCCCTGCGCGCCATGCACGCTACTTAGTCCCAGAATTGCAATCTCCGAACTCGTGTCGAAGCCCAGCCCAAACAAGATGCCCAGGGGAAACATTTTCCACGGCCGATCAACAACTCGAAACACCTTGCGGAACACGTTCGCAAGGAATCCCTCGCCCTCCAACTTCAGATTCGTCGCCGCCTCCTCGTCCTCCTCCTCAACCACCTCTCCAGTAAGCGCCCTCCTCCTCTCCTGCTCCAGCACAACCCTCAGCCTACGGATGAGCTTGTACAGAACCCACCCGTTCCCAGCGCAAAGCAGCAACAGGAACGCAGCGCTAACGCTCGTGCCGATGATGTTGCCCACGCGCGTGAACCCGTCAAACCGGTCCCTCAGCGCGCCGCTCGTCGCAGCAACAACAACGCACGTCACGATCACGATGGTGCTGTGGCCCAGCGAGAAGAAGGTGCCGACGGTGACGGGGCGCTGGCCCGAGGCGATCAGGCGGCGGGTCATGAGGTCGATGGCGGAGATGTGGTCGGCATCGAGGGCGTGGCGCAGGCCGAGCACGTAGGAGAGGGCCGCGGGGGAGATGAGGGAGGGGTGGAAGTGCAAGATGATGCCGGCGACGATCCAGATGGCGATGTTGATGGAGACGAGGAGGGCGATGATGCGGATTGTCGGGGCGGGGATGCCGTGGAGGAACGGCGGGATGGGGAGGGAGGGCACGCGGAAGCGCGCCATGGTGAATGACTGGTCTGCGATGTCGAATCACACAAGATGGGGGCTCTCGAAGATGAGACTTCAGAAAAGGATGAGTGAGGAGAAGAAAGAGGGAGAAGTGAGGTTGAAATTTGGAGTTCACAAGACCACTTTTCAAAACGCCCAGCCGGCGGGAAGCAGATGGACGGCGTGCCCTCCGGCCGGCCATTACCGATCGCCCCCACCGCGGGCTCTGTACTACCCTACCTTGCAGTACGCCAACGCATGAAAAGTAGCTCACTTCGGGCCTGATGGCGTGCGCAAGTATCTGCGCTGGCTGGCAGAAGTGTGCCGGAGGGGAAGCAGGATGACCACCATAACCCCTCCATCTTTCTGCTGTGTTATCTTATCTGTCGCATGGAGCGGCCGGGGGCAATGCGGGGACCTTGTGTGGGGTTCAGACATGCCGCTCCGAGCCGTCGGCGGCCGGCGGCCATGTGTGCTTTCGCCAGGTGAGGTTTGAAGGGTTTTTACTTGAACACTGGAAACTGACTGACATTACCTCAGCCTCTGTTATTGTTTCGATCCGTGGAAGACATGTGAGAATAAGGTGTTGGACGAAGTGGAACGAGTGAGCGCCGGAGACTCCAGCGAGAAGCCCCGCCATGTCTTGGCTGTCCGGGTCGGTAAGGTAGCGCGATCAAGCTTTCTGTACCCCGAACAAGGATACCGGATCCTTTACGAGATATTCAAGTGTCTTCAAGGTCATTCTCATCGTTTGACGGCGAGAGCGCCTAGGTTTCATGTGTCCGCGCGGCTGTATTTACAATGTACTTGTGAAAGTCTGGACTTACACTTGGATGGAGGACAAAAGTGGTAGAGATAATCAGAGGCGATGGGTTTCCACTGGAGGAGCGAATCCGCCAGTGTATTTTCATGCTCAGTCAGCAACATTTCCTGCTTTGTCAACCCTACCCACCTACCTCATGGTCTCACTGAATCATCAATTTCCATTTCAACGCAATATGATTTCTCACCTATTCTGATTTCACCAGCTTTTTGTCGGGCTGTGCATAGGCATCATTCTATCAAATTCATGAAATTAGCTCCCCTTCTCGCTTCCTTTCTCACCGTCCTGTCCGTCGACAGCTGCATCAACCCCGCCGGAGTTCTCACCATGCCGCCGACTTACAACAAGGCCTTCATCCCACTCGAGTCGAATCCCGAAGTATTCAACGAACTCATCAGCCTTCTCGGTGCTCCGCCATCGCTCCAGTTTGAGGACATCTTCGCCTTGGACGATCCCGCGCTGCTCCCAGACAAGATTCTGGCTCTCGTCCTCATCTTCCCTACGACACCCACTTTCGAGGCGCGACTGACGGCAGAGGAAGCCGGCGCTCAGGACTGGATGGTTGAGCACAACGAAGAAGACGAAGACGCCGTGTGGTTTAAGCAGACTATCAACAACGCCTGCGGGCTGTATGCCATTCTGCATGCATTGGCAAATGGCCGCGCAAAAGACTTTCTCAGTAAGCTGCCGAAGCTCCCTAGAAAGTGAACGAGAACTAATGCAAAGCAGGACCGGGGTCGTTGCTAGACAATCTGCTGTCTATCACGGCACCGATGGACCCCGCTCAGGCTGCCATGGCACTGGAAGCTTCAACCGAGCTGGAGGACGCCTATTCTTCGATCGCCACCAAGGGCGACACAGCTGCGCCGGCGAGTGCTGAAGATGAGGTAGACTTCCATTACATCTGCTTTGTGAAATCACCGGATACCGGTCATCTGTACGAACTGGACGGTGATCGCAAGGGCCCCGTGGATAGGGGCGTGCCGGACGAAGAGCAACGGGTTGATCTTGGTCAAAAGTCGCTGGACATTGTGCGTCAATTCATCGCACAAGGAGGAGACAACATCGGTTTCAGTCTCGTGGCGTTAGTGGAAAAGGCGTAGTGGGACGAGGCATCATCTCATCAGCGAAGGCGTTGAGCGTGTTGATTAATTGCTAGCTTGATTTGTACAATGGCTTCAACTATGTTCTTTAGCTCGCCTGGATGATCTTCTCCAACTCATCCGGGTCCTTGATGGTAGGGGTCAAGTTTTCGCTGCCCGTCGCGGTGATCAAGATGTTGTCCTCGATTCTATAAAGATTAGCATCGTCACGATTGGGAATGGTTGGGTATTGTTTACCTCACGCCACCAACATCCCAGTACTTCTCTAGTACGGCGGTGTCAATGTACTTGGAGTGGACGGGGTCCTTGAGGTAGGGCTCGATAATGAAGTTACAGAAGTAGATGCCGGGCTCGACGGTGACGATGCTACCAGCAGGCAGCTTGCCTCTGACACGCAGGTAACGGAACATGGGGTCGGTATCAGCGTAGTTGGGGTTGCCGCCAACGTCGTGGGTGTCCATTCCGAGGTAGTGTCCCAAGCCGTGGGGGAAGAAGGCGACGCTGGTCCTGTTCTTGAGAATCTCCTCCTTGTCGCCCTTCAAAATGCCGACGGAATGGAGGCCATCAATGGCAATCTTGTGGGCCATCAGGTGGATATCGTCCCAGACGACACCCTCCTTCAGAGCTGCGGTGGTGTCAAGCTGCATCTTCAACACGATGTCGTAGATCTGACGAGACTCCTTGCTGAACTTGCCAGAGATGGGGAAAGTACGTGTCTTCAGCCTGTTAAAATGGATTCTGGGCACGACACGGTGGCTGGCAAAGACTTACAATGTCAGAGGCGTAGCAGTTCCATTCCATGCCAGCATCCAAGAGGAGATTTTGCTTGCCCGCCAGGGGAGCATCGTTGGCTACGTAATGCAGGGTGGCAGCAGCTCGACCTGCAGCAAAGATACCGTGGTAGGCCTGGTTGGTGGCGCCGTTGGAGATGCTGTGATACAGGAAGGTAGCATACAGTTCACTCTCGTTCTTGGCCTTCTTGACCTTTTCAACGACAGCGTGGTGGGCAATGGTGGAGACAGCGTTGGCCTTTCTGGTGAGAGCAACCTCGAAGTCGTCCTTGACCACACGGCACGTCTCGATGGCGTTCTTAAGGACACTAAAGTTCTTGCCCTCGAACTCGAGGAACGTGATGCTATCCAAAACCTGACCTTCAATCGCGAAGACGGTCTTGTTGCCCTTGCCGAGGCGCACAAGCTCGGCATTGACGTCGGTGGTGTACTTTACATGGTCGACGTCGTACAACTCCTTGGCTTCGGCAGCGCTGACGGGGAGGCCGGACCAGATAACGCTATCGGGGTCGATGGGAGGGATGAACAGGGTGGACTCGGAGGACTCGAGGTCGAAGACGTAGTGGCAGTCGGCGAGGGGGCAGCCGGTCAGGTAGTAGAAGTAGCGGCGCTGTCTTTGAAGGGTGTTAGACCATTGGCCAGAGGTTCTTGGGGCTCGGAAGCAGGGGGTACCTAAAGGGTTCAGGCTCGTCGTTGTCCTCGATCATCTTGGTCATGCGACCCTCGATATAGAGGACGCCGGTGGCACCGGGAACCTTGGACTTGACCTCATCGGCGACGCGCAGAGCGTGGGCCTTGGCCGGGTACTTGCCCTTGAGGACAGTCTCGTAGTCTTGAGCCATGTTTGCGGCAGAGGTGGTGGAGAAGAACCGCGCCGGTCTCAAGGATGATGCGATGCGCCTCGTCGTCGACGGTGCTGGAGCTCTGGAAGGTCCACCAAGAGGTCTAGACGGATCTGTAGAGAGGTGTTGGCTTCGAATTCGGCCGATTCTGATTGAGCCAGATGCAGGAACAGTGGTGAAGGAGGAGCAGAACGTGCGAGGGACGGCACGATGTGATGTTCTAGCCAACATCAAGACTCTGTCGGCCGGTCGAGTCGCACGGGGAAAGAGGGGCAGCGCCGTTACGTTAGATCAGATGGCGTATCGAAAGACGTTTGCTGCGTTGCGCCAGCACTGTAAGCCGAGCTAAAGCGCACTCTCAGCGGGACGAGGTAGCTACGATAACGAATCACAGCACCAAGACTGGTCGGATAAGGAAGCTCGTTCCTTGGACCTTCCCAGACCAGCGGCACCACTGCTGAAGCTACAGTGCAATCGCCAGCTCTGAGAGCGGGATCACACAGTATGCCCCTCCATCTCCACTTATTACATCTCCCAACCAATGAAGTCTACAGAGTCCTCGGATGACGGCAAAGCGTCGGGTTGAATTCGTCCGTCTTATGTAATGTGATGTCGATGGCCCGTGCATCGCACAGAGCCACTGCCAAATGTAATGTCACGATGCACCTGCCACGAGGATTCCCCAAGCTCCTCCAACTCAACGACCCCAACTTACAATCGTCATCCCCAGAGGTCTAGACTTCTACCAAAGTCCACAATTCCACTGTTATCCCCGTTCCTGGGTCGTTGCTATTTCCTCTCGCGCTTACCGCTTCGTACCACTACTTGGACGCGGCTCAACCTGGCCGATTGTGTCCCTGAAGAAGGCGTGGGACAGCATCACTCTGGCACGGCCAATCCCATCTCAATCAAGCCCGCCAACCAGTGCGATCCTCCCTCCGTCAAGGAAGCAGGATCATCAACCCAGACCTCACGCAACTTGTTACCTGAAAATATTTGAAAAGGCCAGAACAGCCCTTGCAGCCAAGCTCGACAATGTGCCGTCTTGTCCCAAGCTCCCAAAGGGTCTTGTCTCATGCGGGTGAATCCTCCAGATGCCACTACCGTCAACCACGTCTGCAGTAAATCCCAGCAAGTCTCAGGCGGCACAGAAGAAGGATGGCGGAGCAGCAGCTTGTAAGTCTCGAGGACTGACCATCTAGGATCGCCATAATCTTCGTTCAATATCCTAGCATGCGACTGAGGTCTGATTTGCCGGCGTCAGGTTGCATTACTCCACCTCAAAGTGCGTTTGTCTCCAACATCTAATATCAGTTCCCCAAACTTGGCCGTCATCCCACAAATCGACCCCAAGGGGAATTACCGGGCCTGCTGTCCAGTGCGGCCCATGTCGAGGCTCAGCCAAACCACCGCTCAATCAATCCGAGTCAAGTTTCCTCCCTGGCTTTGGTTTATCATTCTAGGGTATCCAGGTCTTGCAGGGCCAGGTACTGCCCGCAATGCGCGCCGTGAAGGTCATCGGGCACTCATCGAAGCGCTTCTACTTGCTTGCTGAACAGCCGTTTGCGCGACTGGCCGCCGTCCGGGAGAGGCCAAGATTCACCAAGACCGCTGCGCAGGAAAAGTGCATTCAACCAGACGACGCGACACCAACGCACCCAAGAAAGGAAATGATGTGATGGCACCCTTGGAAGCGAACTTGTCCCTGCAGCAACAACCAAATCGACAGAGTTGACGGACCTTGGCCAGAACGGTCGCCTGACCGCAATGCGCCATGCAACCCGTGTTGGCTGTGCTATTCCTCCCTCTGGAGCAACGACTAACAGATCGAAATGCACGACTGCTGTGTCTTCAGGATGTCATTCAGACACAAAAACCTCCGTCCGTGAGAGGACCCTCTACTGTCGTTGTCTCTACTGTCATTCGTCGTTCAAATTGGTCATATCTTAATTCACCTGCGAAGGCGACCTCCACGTCGATCGATGAGAGCTTAGGCTTCGTCCCCAAGCACTGCGCTGTCGCCTGCACTTGCAGGCTCCAACCAGTCAATATCAGCAGCGCAACACACGTCGGAGTTCTCCTGTGGTACAGACCAAAGAGACCATAATTTTACATGAATCCTTTTCTGTGAGCAAGCAGTCGTGCACAACGGAGACTACCTGCGTGCGGTACGAATTATCCCCACTGCCGCCCAGCCATTGAAACTGCCGTATCCCGGCCCAGCATTCTTGGGATGGGGGCCCGTCTGTCGAACCAACGCCTTCTTTCGGTGAACAGCCCGCACTGTTGGAGATGCGTCGCTCAAAGCCCGCTCCATACGGCGCCCAACTTTTCGGTGTTTACCTACGGGCCCAACAGCGGCAGCACCGTTCGATACCTTACAGTCTCAATGTTAGCGCTTTCACGGCCCACCGGCTGCTCCAGTCAGCTCTCTGTTCCCGTCCAATACGATACGGGAGCGAGTCGGGTGTCGAATCCTTCCAATACCACTTCTGCAGTAGCCCAACTTCCAAGCAAAACGAAGGTCGCCTACCCCGCAACCAACCCCGACCGCCACCCCCCGTAACCCCGGCCACCCTCCGCTCCCCGTGGCTCTCTCGCCCGCAAAGCTGCAGCTTATTCAGGCGCCTGAGTCTCGGCAGTCCGCCTGATGTCGGTCCGATGAGTACGACTTTCCTCTAGCTTTTCCCAGAGAGGAAGAGGCAGACAATCGACGGACTTGCCTCCCAGCCAATGCCAGCTTTTGATTGTCGTGGGTCTTGGTTTGCAGAGTGCCCTCCCACTTCCCTCTTAAAATGACGTAGGACAAGCCTTATGGCTAGAAAAGACGACGGCATCCGGGAGACGGGGGTGCTGCCGGGCTTGGGGACATAGGCTTGAGGCAGCCGGACGCACAAAACCGCTTCTATTCATACAGCACCGCCGGTCGACGGGCCGCTCGAAGCCTCGCTGGAAAACTGGACACGCGGTGTTCAAGCGCATTCCAAGAAACGTCAAGTCGGTTCAAGCTCAAGTCAAGCATTATGGCTGGTGCTCGGTAGCGTCCTCGGCGGTGGACTTGTGGACTTGTGGGCAAGCGAAGCCTTGACGATCGAGCTTGGGCGTTTGTGCCTGCTTGGTGTTCTCCGTCTCTCTCACTCAATCACTGTGTAGGCGGTGGCGTACTGCTGCGCACAAAGTCAATGAATGTGCCAAGCACTTGGCTCTCACGATCACTTCTCGGCGTTGCGGGACGGGTGTCACTGGACGAACGACTCAGCTCGCTCCAAACCTCTCTACACGTTACATCCTCAAGACCCAAGACGCGACATGAACAAGGGACCGGCGCATGTGTCACCAGGGCAAAATGTACTCGACATGTATCCCGCACAACACAAACTCCAGATATTGTCTCCCTTGCGCG